GCAGGCCCTCGGCGGGTCGGCAGGGCCGGGGCCACCTGGGCATGGCAGAGTCCCTGGCTGCACCTTCGGCAGCTACTGTCCCGCCCACTCCATGCTTCCCCAGGCCACCCCTCGGAGCTCAGCCGGCACAAGACCTACGAGGTTCTCTAGCCTGGGCCCCTCCTCTGAGCGGTGCCACGTGACCGCCAGCATGACAGCAAGGGAGGGCACCAAGCCTCGGTCCCTTTGGGCCATGGGGGGGCTGGGAAGTTGTAGGAGATCAGCTCAAGGTGCATTGTGGCTTGCGGTAAGACTCCTGTGTTTAGTGATGTGTTTCCGGTGGTTCCCATGTGCATGCCAGTGTCTGCCAGCATGAACGCCCAGGTGCTTTCATTGGCAGCGCCCCCGGGCTCTCTTGGGAGCGGCTGGCCCTTTAAAAACAACGACTCAAGCCAAGTTAGTTTGTAAGAACATGGATTTGCATCTGTCCAAGGCTCCCTCGCGGCGTGACTAAGTGTGTGGGTAACCCTTACAAGATGTCAGATGCCGCAGGGAGCCAGGCGACTAAGCTGGGCAGGAGCAATACTACGCGTCTCGCACCGCTTCCCACGCACGCGCGCTCCTTGCGGAGCCCTGGGTGGAAGCACGTGGTGCATCGCACACCCTTGTGCTCAGGGGCCGAGGAGCATGTGCCAGTGGCCTGTGCTCAGAGCCTGGCCGTGTACACAAAATGACAAGTTAGAGAACGTCCTCAGTCTGTTTCCTTGCGGGCACTAGCCCCTGTGAGGACACAGCCCAAGAGCCTTGACCAGGAGAACCAAACCTTTGGTAGCCGTGGGCATGTGTAAGGCCAGTAGAAGGTGTTCCCCCCCCCTCCCCCCCCCCCTTTGCCACTGGGCTGAGTCAGAGGGGAGAGTTGCTGGTGTCAGGAAAACATGGATTGGCTTTGTGTCTGCACGTACCATTGGCCTTCGCTCTGCCACGCCGCGGCTGCGTGTGAGCAGCGGTGCAACTCGCCAAACGTGCCGAGACTTTCCCTTCCTCGCTGCCTTTCTACTCTCCCTTTGCCAAGCATTTCCCACCCTGTGCCACGTGCTTCGCCCGAGAAACGTCTGAATTTCTCAGAGAGGTTTCCTGCCCCGTACGCCCCTCGGCGTTGGCTGTGAGCAATGCTCGTGGTCAAAGGGATAGAAATAGTGTCCAAAGGACGCTGCGAGATGCCGGGGAAGAGACGAGAGGCCAGGGGGCACCAAGCCCTCGCACGCAGAGGCTGCAGCTCTCCCCTCTGCCCCGAGCCTGAACAGAACCCGGCCTGCCGCTGCTAAACCCCCCGGCACCGAGTCCGGGCTCTCTCCGAGCAAGGGGCCGAGGCCATGGCTAGGCCCGAGCAGCGAGCCCCAGGCACTCTGCCAGCGAGGGCTTTGAGCATCCCCTTCGGACACTAGGTGGAGACTCCTCGGGAAATGGCTGCCTGCTGAATCGGTACCAAGGACAGAGACGTTCCTTAGCCCTGGGCCTCCCGCTTTGTAGGGTCAGGGTTATGGCCCAAAGGCTCCCAGTCAGCCGCAGCGTGGGGGCGTCCAGGTCCCACTCCCTGAGACTCCAAACCCCAGCCACACTGTTGCAGGTAGAGGAGTGTGACTTCCCTGGCTAACCTCCGGGTGGGGTCAGAGCCCTGGGGAACACTGGCTCTCCAAAGAGCTGCTGTAGATCAAGCGACGGCCACATTTGAGGGTGTGATTGACAGCTCGGGCAGACGGACTGCTCCAGCTTGCCACTGCAAGGGCTCTGTCGCGGGGCCCTCCCAGCCCCGGGCTGCCCAGCGACGTCCCCTGGGGCTGCAAATGCCGCCCCTACCCCACTGGAGACAGCCCCGGGGCAAGGGCGGGCTTCTCCCCTGGCATAGCTGCTGCCTCGGGGGGAGGCGGAGGGCCTGGGCCGAAGGGAGACGCCTCCCATCGACAGAGACAGCATCCTCGCCAAGAGCTGCAGTGGCGCAGGCGCGC